GGGGGGCGCAGGGAAGACCGACTGACCACAGCCGGTCGCCGCTGCAGGACCCTCCGCCACCGTCTGGCTGGCCGGCCACCGCCTTTATAGGGCTCCTAAGCCCCGCCCCCTACCCACCAGCATTGGCCGATTCAAATAGCCCTTTTCCTTCCTATTGGTTGGCTAGAGTGCCAACCACCGTGCGGCGTCACGACAGGCTGTAGCGGCCAAGACTCAGCCTAACCCCGCCCCCTTCCTGAACAGGGAAAGTCGAGGGACGTTTTCCCCTCCCCCCCCACAAAATCTCGGAAATGATTGGACAGAGGCGAATCCGCCCCGTGCTCGGAACAAGTTGCGCTCGCTGTCAGGTTTTTTTTTTTTGAGTTGGAGTCTTACTCTGTCGCACAGATTGGAAAGCAGAGGCACACTGACGGCCACGGCAGCCTCAACTTGCTGGGCTCAGGTGGTCCTCCCCACTCAGCCTTCCAAGGAGCTGGAACTGCAGGCGTGGGCCACCACGTCCGGCTAATTTTTTATTTTTTAATTGTAGCGATGAGGTCTCGCCAAATTGCCCAGGCTGCTCTTGAATCCTTGGACTCTGGCAATCCTCTCACCTCGGCCTCCAAAATGCTGGGATTACAGGCTTGAGCCACCGTGGCCAGCCTCCGCTGTCACTTTATTTTTTTGAGTTGAAGTCTCACTCTGTCGCCCAGACTGGAGTGCAGTGGCCGCTTCCGGCCACTGCAGCCTCGACCCGCTGGACTCCAGCGATCCTTCCGCCTCAGCCTTCCGAGTAGCTGGAACTACAGGGGCACGCTACCTCGCCCAGCTAATTTTTTTAAATTTATTGTAGAGATGAGGTCTCGCCAAGTTGCCCAGGCGGGTCCCGAACCCGCAGGGTCAGGCAATCCACTCACCTCAGCCTCCCAAAGCGCAGGATTACAGGCTGAGCCACCGAGCCCGGCTCTCTGTCACTTTAAAAATTTACCTGATTAAAGGAAAAGCTCGCTCTGGGGCAGTTGGAACTTCGGCAAACCAAGGGCAGATTTGTCACTGTTACCATTCACTCATTTGCTTTTGGTTGGATAGTAATGACTTCCTCCTTAAGGGATGAAAAGTACTGCTACAAATTGACATTTAATTATTGAATACCTACTGCCTCCCATTTGGAAACCTAACAGTCCCAAAGCAGTAGCACTATGAGTCAGCAACAGAGAGCATGCCAAAGTGATTCCTTTTAAAAACGACTGGAAATTCTTTACATTTTAATGTAACTATTTAGCCATAACGAGTGGCGCATACTCTGGACAAAAATTACAGTCCTCCCATTTGGGAGGCCTGTTTTAAGGCTGGTTAATGCCTGCGGAGAATGGCCTAATCCCCTGCTACCAAGACTACAGAAGCAGTCCAGGCCTCTGCAGCTGTTTATAATACTTAAGTCATGACTCTTCCACCTGTCTGCGTAAATCTATTCCTGCAACAAATGCAGGCACTCTTGGAGGACTCAGGAATGACGGTTTACTAGATCATAATAGGAACGTCTTGGGCAAAGGGGTACAGGCAGTTGATAGACAATCCCTTCTCATGTCATGCATATTTCCTCAAGGCAGATGTCTTTCCTTCTACTGGCACTTCCATAAAAACCGAACTACATTCCTCTTTGCATGGCCTCTGTCCAGGCAGTTGGAACTTTGTATTCCCTGCAGTCTTGGTTAACCACCTTCCTCCCCCTCGGCTTTCATGAGAGGCCAAAGAGAACTCTTCTAGAAGATATGGATCATGCATTTATATGCTTACCACCAGAGCATGAAGCACACCACTTGTTTGGGTTACAATCTTCCTATTCTTTTTTTTTTTTTTTTGAGTTGGAGTCTCCTCTGTCGCCCAGACTGGAGTGCAATGTCCGCTCTCGGCCACCGCAGCTTCAACCTGCTGGGCTCCGGTGATCCTTCCGCCTCAGCTTTCCAAGTAGCCGGAATTACAGGGATGCGCTACCAAGCCCGGCTGGTTTTTTGATTTATTGTAGAGATGAGGTCTCGCTGCCCAGGCGGGTCTTGAACCCGCGGGCTCAGGCAATCCACTCACCTCAGCCTCCCAAAGGCGCGGGATTACAGGCTGAGCCACCGAGCCCGGCTCAATCTTCCTATTCTTTTTTTAAATTTTTTATTTTTTTGAGTTGGAGTCTCACTCTGTCACCCAGACTGGAGTGCAGCAGGCTGAGCTTAAATTTCCAAAACCTTAAAAATAAAAATAAACCAGGCTTGAGCTCAGGAGTTTGAGATCAGCCAGGGCAATACAGCAAAATTCTCATCTCTACAAAAAATTACATAGTCATGGTGGCGCGCACCTGTGGTCCCAGATATTTGGGAGGCTGAGTTGGAAGGATCACCTAAGCCTAGGAGGTTAAGGCTGTGTTGAACTGTCATCATGCCACTGCACTCCATCCTGAGCGAGTGTAAAACCCCGACTCAAAAAAAGTTGTATTAAAATAATACAATTACATTTTGTCTGGGCGGGTGCAGTGGCTCATGCCTGTAATCCCAACACTTTAGGAAGCTGAAGCAAGAAGATGACCTGAGCCCAGGGATTTATGACCTGCCTGGACACAATCTCATCTCTACAATAAATTAAAAAGAAAAAAATTAGGCCAGGCTTGGTGGCAGAGCCTGTAATTCCAGCACTTTGAGAGGCCGAGGCGAGTGGATTACCTGAGCCCATGGGTTTGAGAGCAGCGGAGGCAACTTTGCGAGACCTAGTCTCTACAATAAATAAAAAAAATTACCCGAGTATGGTAGCACATGCCTACAGTTCCAGCTGCTTGGAAGGCTGAGGCAGAAGAATCTCTGGAGCCCAGCAGGTTGACGCCGGGGTGGCTGTGTGCTACTGCACTCCAGCCTGGGTGAGAGATTGAAACGCCAACTAAAAAAATAGAAAACCAGCCGGGCTCGGTGGCTCAGCCTGTAATCCTGCGCCTTTGGGAGGCTGAGGTGAGTAGATTGCCTGAGCCCGTGGGTTCGAGACCCGCCTGGGCAGCGAGACCTCATCTCTACAATAAATCAAAAAATCAGCTGGGCGTGGTAGTGCATGCCTGTAATTCCGGCTACTTGGAAGGCTGAGGCGGAAGGATCACCGGAGCCCAGCAGGTCGAGATTGCGGTGGCCGGGAGCGGCCACTGCACTCCAGTCTGGCAGTCTGGGCGACAGAGTGAGACTCCAACTCAATAAATAAATAAATAAATAAATAAATAATAAAAAACCATGCCAGGCTCGGTGGCTCAGCCTGTAATCCCGCACCTTTGGGAGGCTGAGGTGAGTGGATTGCCTGAGCCTGCAGGTTCGAGACCCGCCTGGGCAACTTGGCGAGACCTCATCTCTACAATAAATCAAAAATTAGCCAGGAGTGGTAGTGCGTGCCTGTAGTTCCAGCTACTAGAAGGCTGAGGCGGAAGGATGGCCGGAGCCCAGCAGGTTGAGGCTGCGGTGGCCGGGAGCGGCCACTGCACTCCAGTCTGAGCGACTCCAACTCAAAAAAACAAAAAATAAAAAACAATGATAGTGCATGCCTGTAATTATGGCTACTTGGAAGGCTGAGGCAGAAGGATCGCTGGAGCCCAACAGGTCGAGGCTGTGGTGGCCGGGAGTGACAGAGTGAGACTCCAACTCAAAAAAAATTAGCCGGGCGTGGTAGTGTGTGCCTGTTTTTCCAGCTGGAAAGCTGAGGTGGAAGGATCACGGGAGCCCAGCAGGTGGAGGCTGTGGTGCCCAGGAGCATGCCTCTACACTCCAGCAGGGGCGACAGAGTGACTCCAACTCAAAACAAAACAAACAAAACAAAAAACTACCAGATGTGGTGGCTTACACCTGTAATCCCAGCACTTTCAGAGGCTGAGACAAAAGGACTGCTTGTGTCCAGGAGTTCCAGACCAGCCTAGGCAACATAGTGAGGCATCAACTCAACCCCCCCCAAAAAATAAAAAAATAATCCAGGTGTGGTAGCGCACACCTATAG